TTTCCTGGCCAGCACAATCGCCAGACCTCAACATAATTGAACCGTTGTGGGGAGTTTTAGAGCAGAGAATAAGGAGCAGATTTCCATCTCCAACATCATTAAAGCAATTGGCGGATGTTTTGGTACAAGAATGGGACAACATTCCGTTGGAAACTATTTAGACACTCTACGAATCTATTCCGCGAAGAATTGCAGCTGTTCTACGAGCAAATGATGGCCCAACACCTTATTAATAAATAAATATTGTGTTAGGTGTATATGTCAGGTGTTCATATTATTTTGTCCAACCCCTGTATATACATAAGTACACCATTTCATAATATTATACAACTAACGTGTCTAATAAACAATATGTTCAATTGCAATGTGTGCAATCGCTTCGAGCTTATTCTACTGCGTATTCAATCTCCATGACCTAAACGACCACGTGTTTAATCGCTTTATATTTCATCAACATAATGTCCAAAATCTACTAATCTATTGTAACTCGAAAACTAGCCATCAGAACTTGTCAGTGCCATTGAGACTTTTGTTCAGCATGACCAGGACTACATCATACTAAAATTTCAGCCAAATCCGCTGAGGGCCATTTCCCATAAGATTTGTGCGGGGTCCTTTCTTTAATAATCATAGCATTGCAACTTTCATATGATCCTTTAGAGTCAATCGGACTGCACATGTTGTCGGACTACCCCATGATTTTAAATTATTATTTTCGTTTTCACTGTAAAATTTGAGGAAATGAAAATATTAGGAACAGCTTCCAATTGCCTTGACCTTGACAAACGTTGTAAAGGTCATTCCCCTGAACAACATTCAAAAGGTTTTAGCCGTCGAACACCTTGGGTACCAATGCTAATGGCAACAATATTGTAACTTTGAAGCCTTTTAACTCGAAAAATACTTAATGAAAAAATATTTTATTGTGTTTATTATGTTTTATTATTGTTGTGTTTTGGAAAGTTCTCGAGGTATGTTACAAGAATATGTAATGAAAAATGGAAGTTTCATTTAAAAAATTCAAAGTGACCTTGGCCTGACCTTGACGACGCCACTTGAAGTCAAACCAATGATATCATCTTATGTCCCCTTCGAAATCCCAAAACTTTTATCTGAAACATTTTTCTCTAAAATACACTGTTCAAGAGATATTTGAGGTGATCGATTAAAATGTGACACCCTGTATATAAGTAGATTTATGGATTTGTACAAAATCCATAATGATATGTACAAAAAGAATGTTTTTTAGGGAAGGAGGGGGGAGGTAGATAGGGAGAGAGAGAGGAGGGAGGTAGGAGGTTAGGAGGAGAGGGAGGGGTGAGGTAGAGGAAGAGAGGTAAAATGTGGAAGAAAGGGGAAGAGGCAAGGATATATTATTTTAATTTAAAAATCAAATAATATTTGAAATTTTTTAAAAAATAAGATTAAATTAAAATAAAATAAATTATTAATTAAATTAAAATAAAATAAATTATTAATTAAATTAAAATAAAATATTATTATTAAGGTGATTAACCCCATATAATAATTTCTGTCGACTTTTATTTCGGCAGATATTAAAACAAATCTAAGAATTATAATTTGCAACGTGTATTTTGTTACATAATATTTACCTTTAGTAAACAATATTTTATTACATAAAATTTACGTTTACAGAATATTTTATTAAAATTTTTATAATAAAATAAAAACTGAAATTAATAAATATATTTTCATTTAAAAAAGGAGGATTTCTTAACAAAGTAAATGAAAGCTATATAAGTAATTTACTATATATAAATGTTAATAACTCACAATAATATTTATCAAAATGTCTGATAATCTTTGCAATATATATGTAAACCGCTTCGTTAGATTAGTCAAAAAAAAATTTACATTTCTTGGTGCAATAAAAATATTCAAAGTAATCGAGTTACATGGTTCATTGTATTATTACATCTAAGGTTTTAAAAAGCTGAATTTAACCTAGAAATCTAATCATAACACAGTAGTAGATGAGAATATCGGTCAGTCTATCGTAAGTCTATTGAAGAAGCTGAGTGAAGATGCCCTCCCCCCCATCATAGCAAATTATAATTTAACCATAATAATTCGTTTGGTAGCATTTGGTAGTCTATTCCCAATGTTTGGTAGTCAAAACTGCGTCAGATATCAAGAAAAATAAAATGCATGTGAAGTTCGCCCCTCCCCCCAAGCTAGAAAACTATTTTTAAACATTGTACGTAATTTTACCTATTACTATTTGGTCCTATTGTTTGGTCATTTTTAACATTTAGTAGTCCATTTCCAACGTTCAGTAGTCAAATCTGCGTCAAATGTCAAGAAAAATAAAAAATGCGTGTGAAGTTCTCC